TGAGGCCTGGAACCGGCATGAGGCCTGGAACCAGAGTGGGAGCCGGAGCGTGACCCGGGCCGGGAACCTGAACGGGAATCATGACGTGAACCAGAACGAGACCTGGAGTAGCCTCGCGATATAGATCTGGTTGGGGTCCCACTTCGCGCGCTGCGGGAGTGGGTCCGAGGGTGGCTCCGGGACCTCGATACACGCATGGTGCGGTTCCTGAGATGACTCCGGGATCGGGACCGGGATCGGCTGCCATCGGATCGACCATCTGTAGAAAGCTTTGAGGCCTGGTCGTCGTCAGCGGTTGCGTTGAACTAGTTCATTGTTTCGTAACTGTTGTGTCGCGTCGAGTGTGCTCGCTCCCATCGTCGTCGGCGCACTACGTATGGAATGTGGTAGCGTTCTTTACATTCCTTGTCGGCAGTGAGGTGGGCTCCTCCGCAAAGCTTGCATGTTGGTGTGCAGCGGTGTTCTTTTTCGGGATTCAGCATGCTGCAGCCTCTGCAGATAACGTCTCCAGGGTTCGGGCACACGTCCGCTCGATGGCCGAGCCGACCGCAGGCGTAGCAAATATCTATCTGTCTACGGTATAGTGTACAATGAAGTAGCACCGATCCGTATCGCACAAAATTGAGCACACGATGTCCATCGAAGGCCACGATCACTGCAGTGGTACTTCCGATGCGCTTGGCAGCCAAAGCTAGTGGATTGCGGTCGTTGACAATCTTCGCATCAATGTCCGCCGAACCGTCTTGCACGGGAATCCCTCGAATGACACATTCTACATGCAACACGAGAAACTCAAGTTTATTTATCTACTGTAAGCACGTGCCTTGGTTGTTAGTCTTTTTGTACCTTTTTTGTCACATGCGCAATGAAGCCCAATTTTTTATATATGTTTGCTTTATATATGCGGGCTGAAAAAAGGCCACATATTCTTGCCCCCCGGTCACTCCCTTCATGCGTAGCTTTCAACACGCTCCCTAGAACAGAACGATAAGGAAGGCGCTTGAAGCGTGCGAGAATAAATTAGCGAACAGATAACCTTCGTTGGGTGGGGCCCTCAGTCCAGGGCTTCATTCCCTTGCACGACCAACGAGCCCGTTGGACCAGCTGCTGCTGTTCCTACTGGCAAGAAATTTCTGTAACACCATGGCCTCCGAGATTGCGGGCGCGCGACGTGGTTCTTGCCGGCAGTCCCAATCGCCACGCTCCCCAGCAAAACCAGCGAGTATCGCCTCATGCGCGCGGATACCGCGAGGGGACGCGTTTAATGTGGGTTCCTCGAGCGGCAGAGACCCCGGCAGGAATCAGAACGCGCGGGACTTCGGCGTGCGCATATTTTGTTCTTTTTTTTTCTCACGTGTTAGCAAGTATCACCGACAAATCTTCTGGCTGCACTGAAGTCAAGTACTTTTTTTTCAGTTACTGCTTTTATTTTGGTCCAATCGACGAATAAAAGCATAGCAACTGCTGAAATGATCTTATGCATATCATTGCGAGGAGGCATTATTTCGTCTGTGAGACATTCTAGCATTCCCCCTTTCTGGAGACGCGTATGTGGGTGAAATTGTCGTTGAATCATACGGCCCTCATATCGTTAGAGATCGCTTTACTATTTTATTGCGTACCGATATTTATGAGGTGGTCAACTGAATTCCACTTACGCTCTACATAATTAAGCGCCCTGATTGTACCACTTATTAATGTGGTAAGTAATTTTGCCGGAATATTGTGAAAGGCTACTTTTAGCCGACCTACATTTGTTCCCTACGTCCTTCACAGTGAAAGTGCTTGAGTTGACATATCATCATCTCCTTTTTTCGTCATCAGTATTTTGATCATGTTTAGCAGCACAATGGCAATATCAGTATCGTGTTTATTGACAGGTATCTCGACTGCATCCAAATCAAAGGGTCGCACATGCGGCCAAACGGCGTTTTTCAGAAAACCAAGTATTCGTCGAGGTACACTACTGAAGAATTTTTTAAAAAGTGTGAATTGTCACTCCTATGTTACGTGCAGTGTTTCATACCAGATACACAGAACTCTGAATGCGTGCGGCGTTCTTCTTCAACAAGCAAAAAGATCTCGATGTTCGTTCTTACATTCCTCAACATATCCACTGAACACCGTAGAACTCACAGTGCGAATGGGCGACCACAAGTGACCGAAGCGCACCTGTAACCAGCCCGTGGTCGTAGCAGAGCCAGTGACGTTCGGTCTAGACCTCCTCCCTGTCTCCTGCTTCTGCGGCACGACGGGAGGTAGTTGGAAAGAGAAACCCACGAGGGCGAGTGCGAAGCGTTGTACGCTTTGAGAGCGCGGCTTTCACGCCAGACTTGACGGCACATTGTGAGGAGAGAGCAAGACAGCTGCTGATGCTGAGCACCCAGTTTGGTGGGTTCAGCAACTGTTCCTCTCAAGCGGGTGTTATTTTTTCGTAACGCAGTCACGCTGCAGCGTTCGCGTGGTTACCTTGCGTGTATGCGTCGTCGGCATTCTGCATAGAGGAGAGAAAATTTTGGAGTGGAAGTGAAAACGGATGTTTGATTCAGGTATTGGTTGGTATGTGGGGTTTAACGTCCCAAAACCACTATATGATTATGAGAGACGCCGTAGTGGAGGGCTCCGGAAATTTAGACCACCTGGGGTTCTTTAACGTGCACCCAAATCTGAGCACACGGGCCTACAACATTTCCGCCTCCATCGGAAATGCAGCCGCCGCAGCCGGGATTCGAACCCGAATGTTTGATTCAATAGTAGCGATTCATTAATTAATTTTCCAACTGGTTACGGTTCATACAATTGATGCTATGTCAATGCTGCAGTTTTTTTCCTGTTACAGAAAGTGACGTCAGGTCTTGTTTCTTCCATTTTTTTTCGGGAATATGTCAGACTGATGCGTGCCCTTCCACACGTCAGATAGAAAAAAAAAGAAACTTAGGCACGAGACGCCAGCATGCGCAGTGGCGGTGTCAACGTCACCGCCGACACCGAATTCGCGAATAGTTGCGACTATAAAATGCTCCACATTTAATAAAAACTGACAGCCCCATCCACAAGCTAAACAGGAATGCCACGCATTCTGCGCTCACGGGTTACACGCAAATAAATGGGTCACTTTCTTGTTCCTTTTGTAGAACTACCCCTGGTTTAGATTGTAACGCTGCTTAGAAAATTATTACAGGCCCGCTGACATAAGCAAAGCTGCGACGCGTAGCGTGTTGTGATTCTGTTGCTTTTAGGGACGAAGCTTTTTATAGCATCACTTGGTTGGTCCTCCTTCTATCCGGCGTTACGAGCATATCCACGGAGTGAATGATGAGTGAGGCGAAGTGTTCGTCCATCCGATGCGTGCTGCATTGTGATAGGAGTCGACGAACGCATGGACGAACAAATGCACGGACGGTCGGATAGATGGACGTACACTTCGCCCCACCAATCATTCCTTCCGTGCATATTCCGTGATTTTGTTTATTTATCCCTCGCACGCCGAAGAGCATTGTGCGCCTCGTCGAGAGGTCCCACTGAACGTGCCTCATCTATAGGGGAGACGAGTTGTGGCGAGCACGGCTGGACGGCAGGTGTGCCAGCCGAAGAAGGGAAGAACATTTCTAAGAAGCAATAAAACCACGTCGTAGCGCAGTTGTGATCACATTAGGGGGTATACAAGAATTATTGAGACAGCGTTACAATGAAAAGCAGTGCTAGTTCAATGAGAGAGCCTCGCTTGTGGATCGGGCAGCCATTTTTCTTTCTTTTTCGCCAGTGCCTCCCCCCCCCCCCCCCTACTATACAGCCCAAGAACTTCAAAGTATAGCTTCGAGCACATATGCGGATCTCTTGCAGAGTCATCGCAATTTTAACTGCTCTAACATGGGTGGCGCCGATCTATAGCAAAATAAAAAGCTCATTTGAAAATAAAATGCCCCGGCGTTGACTTTGTCTTTCGTACTCCTTGACCCGCTATTTCCAAACGAACACAAAGTTATATAAAAGGGCAAAATCATTTTTTGCTCCCCACATAGAAGCTTTGCCAAGAGCGCGGCAGCCTTTTCTGCTGAAAGAAAGAGCGCCGCTGTGCGGAGAAAAGAGTGGGTCATGCCCACTTCTCCGTGCGATTGGGACGGCTGGAGAGAAACCCAGCGCGCGTCCGCCATCTCGGAGGCCATTAACACCGCTCGTAGTTGACTGATTCCAAACAAAAAAAGTGATTCACGAAGCGTCATGCTGTAGTGGCGGGACTATTACAATATAACTCCGAAAACGGTTGCTCTACCCCTTTATTTACATTACATGGGAATGTTTCTGTCAGCACACGTGGTAGATATAGAACCACGAAATCAACCTCATGTAGCTTAGCTCTGCAATAATTTTTTATTTCTATGAATGTTACTGAATTCAATGTATCCGTGCCCCAACTATATATTGCCTACCATTTAGCTTGAGTTCTGGCTCTTCTTTTTAGCATGCCAAGTGCAACTCTGCTTTCATCTAAATACTTATGGCAGTTTTTATCTGAATAATGTCAGCCTTTTGATTGCCCGTGAACGTTTAGGCCTCGGCGTTTTTCTTTGCACGTGCAAGGTGACGTTGTACAAACAGGGCCGAGCTCACCGATTTCCCATATATCGAGCGTACTATTTTGCGGGTGGAGCACGAACAAAAACCTGCACTTCCGGTGACCACCGTGACAGCTATGGAGCTGCTGATATTCGCAGATACATGTTCATCAAAATTAGATTGCAGCGAAACATACAGCCTTAAAATGCCAATAAAAACGCTTCTGCAGATTCCTTCGAGCAAAAGTTCCCAATTAAAATGAGGACGTTGAATGAAGAATTAATTATAAAAACAGCAGAATCAATATTAAATTGTTTGATCGATTCAAGTCGGCTGCATGAACACCGTCAATCTTGGACAGGAAGAAGAGAAAAATCGAGCAGCTGGGCGAGACGCTGGGGGAGGAAGAAGAAAAGCGGCAGAGCCACCCGGGCATCGTTCTTGAAGCGGTGGCCTTTCCGCGAGCGGTCCCAACCAGGATGTACCGCACGCCTCAACCCGTCGGCGGTTATGGTGAGTGCTTTTACTCGAGCTAAGCACTAGCCTGAGGAAGGGTACTAGTGCGCTTTTGCGCGTTTTACCCGCAACCATGCCGAGAATCACTGGTCGGCCAGATGAGATCAGCAATGGCGGCCGTTGTCGATCATTCGGATGTGCATATGCTTCGTCGAAATTATGTAACTGTGGTGTGTTCAAGTCATTAAGGCGATGAGATTGCTCACGTCACGTCCTCGGGAGCAGTGTTTACGGGTCGTGCCTAAAAAAGAGCCAGATTTCATTATTATCTGGGAGTCTTAGTGCCAAAAGGGTGGTGTGCACAAGCGTGCGGGGGCGACGAAAGAGGCGCATTCTTCCTCACGGCACCCATTTCCCAAATTGTGTACATCAAGCGTTTCCAGAAGAGAAGATGGTGTGATAGCCGGCTTCATGAATAGACAGCTGCCGTTTTGCGGTTTGGATCCCTCTCAACGGTGCTTTGCGTCTATCAAAAAAACAGTCTCGACAGAAAAAAAATCCGATTTAAATATCGCGTAGAACACGACTGCAATCTCGATGAAAAGCGACGTGTCACACGCTTATTTGCTTGTGCTGGGTTTGCGCGCTTTTCAATGATGCGACAGACCTCTCGGGATATTTTTAATGGTGTATCCGAAATTCGTGTCATAATGCCAATGATAGCTGCAGCACCAATGTGAACGTAGGCGTCCTTCTTTATTTATGGATTTGGAATCTCGGTTTAATTAAGTCGCTGGTGGTTTTGAGAACAGTTTTTTAAACCGTGTCAATTTTTGAGGAGACACTTATGCGTAAGGCTTTGCGCTCTTACGTTCGCGTGAACGTTGCCAGCGTTCACTTCCCACCGCATTGAGTGCGCAGAGCAGGGGACATCCGAGGTTTTGTCGGCAGCTGGGACAAATCGGCTTGCTGGCACAATGAAAGCAGCCATGGATGTTCTTGCATAAACATAAGTGAAGTTTGGTGATTAGAGCTACAGCAGGATAAACACCGCCATCTCAAGACGACTGCGTCGCATGACAAAACTATGCGGCCTATCGACGCGTACATCTTTAAGTTCTCTATTCCGCGTTTCATTCTATTTTTAATAATCATAATAATAATGGGTGAAACAGTGAAAATTTATGCGGGAGTTCATAGTTAGAGGCAGCTTCAGTGGGAATATTATGGAAAAATTGCCACCAAATATTGTTTTGAATGAAATAAAATTGCGATGATTGCAAAGAAGAGTGTTCGCTGGTGCAGATTCAGGATCGAATTGGTTGCGTTCGCTTAGCTTGTGAACGCGCATTTATACGATCGCAGCTGAAGAGCTCCATCCCCGATGAACCTGCTGCACTTGTGGGTATTCACCGAGCGAAATTGTACTCAAAAGTATATTTAGCAACCGTCGACCTGCTGGGTATTGATCGGTCGCCATTAATAGTGTCCATCAGATATTTATCTAAAGTTTGCTAGTGACTGGTAGATATTGTTTCTTTGTCTTGTATGTATATACATCTCAACCAAATACTTGCATTACGCTGCAGTTTTATACGAATCAAAATAAACTTTCCAAAAGAGCGCTGCTAACGAAAACGCAAGATAAACGATGGCAACAAGACAACACGAGTGCTCGATAGCGTTGCGAAAAGCCGAGAATGATCGTTTGGGAACTCATGTCGAACAACTGTCTCATTGTGGATAGTGTGGGGGTTTCTTATCGGCGGGCTCGTGTTAGTCGCCTTTGTCCTAATGACCAACTTTTTAGTGCCCTTTTTACAGCGTCGTACCTGCTTGTTCCAGAATCAATCATTCAGAAATTAACTACTTCTTTGTACTTACCTTCCGCACATAGAAGAGGCGTTGGAAGTGTTCTTTCGTCCATCATGTAGAAACTTGGAAAGTGAAATGGTGTAGAACCATTCATGTTTCACAAATGTTCAGACAAAATTTCGGAGTTACTAAACTTATGAAACAGTAATAACATTGCGCCGGAAACAGCATTAATAAAACTTGCATCTAAAATTTCCTAATCTTGTTTCCCTTTCATCACGTTTTCATATGTCTCCATATTCTGATGCCATTTATAATACCATAGTTTTTTAAAACTAAATTGCTTCGTTTCTTCATAAATATGATACATGCTACCTTGTTTTCACCCGTGGAAATCGAACAATAACTTCTGTAGTTGCGAGTGTATTATTTGAGTAATGTGCCTCACTGTATTGTCAGTGGGTCACAACGTTAACGAAGACAGCAGCCGGTATGCCCAACATTAAACTCTTTATTAGGCCGAATTTGAAGGGTGGCCGGTAAACGGAAAGTCTGATTACAGCAATACGCACTGACACTGATGAAGGTGAACAGAGCGTTGGTCGTTCAAGAACTGACAAGCGGTAATGTACGTCGGCATTTATACATATGCCGTTGAATTTTCCAGCATTGTCGCTAGCAGCGCGTATGTTCCAGAACAACCTGTAATATTTGCGTTGTGCGCGTAATCTTATCGAAATATTATAAGATTATCTTGATGGTTTTTAGTTCATCGAAGTTGTTTGCGCAAGGGAGCACGCTCACACGTATAATTGGGCGATAACAAAACTTGACAAAGAAGTGTGACATTGCTCTCCCCCCCCCCCCCTCCCTGAAAAAAGGCACGACGCTTTAACAAAAGATTATGTTTTATATCCAACGAAGATGCGTTGCACTGTTTTTGGGATCTTGTCTCGTTTGCTGTACAAGTCCTTCCTTAGTTTTCGATTGCGTGCATTTCATTATGTCGCATATTTGCCAATGTGTGTACTGTTGGAAAGCCAGCGGTCCCTTGCCAGATATTTCTCCCACGAAACCGACTCCTATTTTTATGTGATCGTCTGTGTGTTTGTATGTGTGTGCGTGTATATACACTCATACAAAAGGCAAAATTTAGGGCAGGTTGAAGACCCCCGAAATGGTCGATTGAGATGAGATAAACGTACGATAATTTCACAGAGGGACTTATGGCTTCGCTTGCTGTCACTGCCGAGGCTGGGCATCTGGAGAGCGTTGCTTTGCGTGCAGGGCAGCCGATGGCCCTCCAGAGGCGCGCCAGCATGACGCCGATGGCTGTGATGTCACCGGGTGGCCCTATGTCGCCGACCCTGGCGGAGAAAGTGCGCATGGCCGCTATACAGCAGCGCAAGCAGTACACGCGCACGCCCGCGGAGCGGCTACTGCTCAAGTGGGTAATCTGCTGGGTGCTCTTCGCCGCCGTGGCGACTACCTTCATGCTCTGGTACCTGTTCAAGCTGAGTGAGAAACCCGTCGTGACGGACACCATGAGCCGCCTTCTCAGCATCCACGACCAGATCTCCACCGAGAAGTATCACCAGCATGACCGGATCTACAGGGCTGTCATGCACAACATCACAGCGAGGGGCATCAGGAACCAGTTTTTGTGAGCACCCCTTATATCGCTGATACGCGTGTCTTTTCCTCGTGGGAAAAGAATGTATCTTATCTGCCACACACGTCGCTAAAGTACTGGTTTAAGGTAACCCTAATGAAAACCGACTGTTAATGGAGGCATATAGGAAAGGTCGCAGGTGCGGTCCCTGTCAGCGGCTCTTTTCGCCCACACTACTTTCTTAAGATCTATATATTATAATCACTACGATAGACACTCAGAACAGTACAATTAATGTTTCCTTCATTATATGCTTGTTTTCTTTACGGTCGTGTCAAGCAACAAAACGAGCTCTCGAAAATTCTCTTCTTTCATTGGTGTTAGGTAAAGAAACATATGCCGACTTGCGTATATCGTGTGTGGTTCAGCTATGTTTTTTTAGCTCGATAGTAGCTTCCATAGTCCTGCCATAAGGTGCTCCCGCTCCTTCTCGGAAACGCCATAAGTCCATAATGCACCTACATGCTGGGAAAGGAAGCAACGTGAAAGTTTCTGGCCGGCTATCATGTAACGAGAGCAACATATAAAAAAAGAAACATTCGGAACGTTCTGCATTTAACGTGAATCACTGTGCGAATTTTCACCGAAAAACGTTTCCCCAAAACTCGCATTAGGCGGGCGTTCACTCGGCAGTGCTTTTTTCAAGTATCTTGGTAGACGGCGCGAATCGATTGACAAGTGTTTATCATTTTGGCGAGAAATAATCCGCTAATAAACTAAGATCCCTTCGACGTCGAAGGGATCCTATAGTTTCTTAGCGGACCGTGTCTAGCCTTGACTTAAGCACACTATGCTTAACCATTGTGCATAAGTCTCACTTGCCGCAAAAACTCAGTTCTTAATACCTTACTAACACGTCTTGGATATCCAATCTGGAATAATTACAAAGCACTCCCTTCTACCGGGACATGTCCTCTATTAAGGCAGAAGCCAACGAATCTTGCATTGTAGTGAAGGCGATAGCGCTCATGATCTTCAAAGCATCGGGCTTAGCAAAAGATACACAACAAGATATATGAGGAGACAGACCAACGAGCTCCTCGTGCGTTGCCAGGGGTCAGTGCTTGAGCAGAAGACACGTGCCACTCAATGTGACTTGTTAACCAAGTCTAAACTGTGTGCGATGCGTATGAGAGAAAATTCTGACGGAACGTGTTGGAACATCGCAAACTTAAGGTAAGTTGACCTATATGGGCCCCGCAACAGTTATTTAAGTAATCATCGAAAGGCTACATTAAAGAAATTTATTGCCTCACGAATCGACAGCCGCAAAAGTTTTTGGTATCTCCACAAGTACCAGTGGTGTTACAGTGGTTTGTCCCACGTTTCAAGCACTAATTTTTCCTTTCAAACCCGCGAGCGCGCTGAAAGCTGCGCAAGGGGGAGAAAGATGGCAAGGGCGCAAAATGGTACACCCGTTCGTTAGCGCACGTCATGACCTGGAGCACTTTTTTCTTCTTCTTTTTCTTCAACTACATGGGCTACTTTCAGTGTGATCAGGAGAGAGAGAGCGGACACGTAGCGGCCTCCCACAACGTCCCCGTAGCTATTTCAATTCGCGATGTTCAAATAAGCTAATGATCGGTTTGTGACGCGGTCATTTGGGTTTATGACATTTGTAGAGAGAAGGGTGAGGGATATCTATAGCTGACTATGAGAATCAATTGTAAATTTAAGGTCGCGTGCTGCGATACAATGTTTCGTTCGCATGTTCTTAAAAGACATGACCACCAATTGGCAGCGTTTTCTACCCATCCTTAGAAAGTGTTGCACGGCCCCTTTAATGTCACTGTCACCATACACCGTACGTCGGACACGAGTGTCACATATCTTACTGTATGCCCTTTCTCCACCTCTCGCACCTCTACTCAAGTCCTCTGTTTTCTTTGGCATTGTCAACCTAATAGTAGGTGCGACGCGCGCATGGTAATTGCGGCTGTGTTATGTTTGCCCATGGTGTAATCTACATCCGACAACCCGAGAATGTGTCTGTGGTGTGCTGTGGCTCTACATACGGAGGGTATTGCTTGAAAAAAAAAGTATAAGAATCCGCTGTTGCACTCGATTCAATCGCTATCGCTTCAGCAAAGAACCGAAGTGAACACGAATGATTCGGTAGATATTTCTTGCAGACTCCCAATTTTGTTGTGCAATGTTGTCCGTATACTATAGCTGCCGTCAAACCAAGATGCTGTTCATCACTTCTCTGTCATGTTTGCTCGAACACAAATTATAGAAAATTAACCTTGCCAATGCCTGTTCTGCACTACCCCCAGCCCACCCCTAACCTTTCTTTGATTCGGAGCCCCTGTGCGCGAATGCCGACGTGTGAACTTGAAGCGCCTGGTTAGATCAAGCTTACGTCCTTCGCAGTAACTTGACCTCAAAAAACGCCGGTGGAATGGACCTCATAAGGTCAGTGGCTAAGTACTGGAAAGACATTGGCATGGATGTGGTGAGGGAGCCCATGTACATGGTCCTCACGAGTCGACCCAACACATCGATGGAAAACAAGGTAAGCAGGTCTCTGTATATATCGATGAGGCGAGTTCATGGCAGGAACCACGCAGGAGTTTTCGAACGTCAGTAAACGTATACATGGTTTGGGCTTAGAAAACTGACGCAAGCATATTTAAAATCTCGTGCTTAAGCCAGACCATTATATCGTACTTGTCCCTCTTTTCCCTTTTTTTCCCTTGAGTATTGCATAAACCATAAGTTGGTGTTGAGCGGTGTACTTGTTTTCGTCGACAATGAGTTTTTCGAACTACAGGAGTGGCTTTTTTTTTAACAGAACGTGATGAATGCGAACCACTGGGATGTCGTTGGCCTCTAAGTCGGTATATTTGCCGCTAAGGTTGCGTCTGCGATTCAGGGGCAACTGAGAAGCGACCTTGGATTTTCACTATAGCCACGTCTACGGGGGCGTGGTTGCCGCAGCCGCAGAGTCCTTATGCACAAATTCCATTACTGCAGGACGAAATGTACATCCTATTGAAACGAACTTGAAAAGAGGGCGAGTCCTACTTTCGGCTTAAATGGTGGCTTCAAGTTTGAGGGTGGCTTGCGTGTTTGCTATAAACCGAACTATATCCTTATATTTTGCTGTTATTCTGATATTTGTTTATATTCAAGCACGCCTCTCGTGCCCCTAGCTTAAGGCTATATTATAGTAAGCAGTAGAATCCCGACCCATGGCGTTGTGAAACTAAATTTTGCATTGGAGGAAGGATTGCTCGTATACCGTCTTGTTGCGTTAGCCCTAGGTTAAATAATTTAGTGAGGTATTTTATAATTCTGCTTATTTTACTTATCTAATGTCAGCGCTGCTATTCGGAGTAAATATTGCACCTTCGCATGTAGGACTCCACTCATGCATGGCAATACTATAATTAAGACTCTACATCATGTGCCACCTCTTCTTCAGCAGTTACGATTTCTTTTCTTCACTCATGTGTTTAACCTATTATCCAGATTTTGATGGCATTTATCAGCGTCTGTTGTCCTACTTCGTTGTATAAAAAGTCGCCCTTACAGTCACACTTTATAGTAGGCAGGCACCAAAGTAAAAGAGTGTGCTAAATTAAGCATTCACAGTTACTTTATAATGATCCATTTTTACTGTAATACCGTTCCTTGAGTGGTGCTAAGTTATCCTGCACTCGTTTCACGAGGAATCGTATTGCACGCGTGCCTCACATGCTCAAGAGCCGTCTGTCTCTAGGTGATGCTGTACAAGGACAACCAGTTGCTTCTAACGTGCGCCTCCAGAGATTCCATGGTGCTAGCAGGAAAGACGTACATCCCCCCTGCATACTTGGCCTATGCGGCGAGCGGTACAGGCAGGGTAAGGGAGACAACTATACACTATTTCGACGTCCGTTCACCTTCGCCAATTCCTCTGTCAGGGCTGATCTGTAATTGCTAGCGTTGTTTCGCACTCGCTGCTCGTGCGGTATGCTTATGGGATGCACATGCCCGACCTGAATTAGACTTGAAGTTCAGAAAGATGATGATACGGACGGAGGAATAAGGCACCAATGAGCACTGGCTGTAGTTTACGAAAAGTTTCTAGGTGCATTACTCGCATTTTTTAGGGTCGAAGCTCTGTGAGTCGTATGCCTCGTGTCGTCGTAGAAGCCAGTTGCATTGCATTGCATGTCAATAAAAACGGCCTCACAGCATATCCATGGAGTGAATGATGAGGCGAAGCGTCCGTCCGTCCGTATGTCCGTCTCTCTGTCTGTGCATCCGTCTGTCCGCTTCGCCACACTCATCATCATTCACTTCATGGATATGCTGCAATATTTTTTTTTCATATTATCGGGTGTCTGCGCAGCGAGAACAAGATCATCCCCCATAATGTGTGCGTCTGCCACACCTGCAATAAAATATTGTCCCGTAATAATTTTTACCTGATGAAGGTGATACTTCAACTCAGCTATTTTCGGCCAATTTGTTTCTATGCGCAAACCTGCTCCAGAAAGCGAATATGAAGTTGCGCTTGCTGGATTCAAATAGCAATATAATGTTTGTGAATTTTGGCATTAGGATTGTGTTGAGATTGCTAATTATCTGCGACAACGAATGAGCGACGTCGTAGCTATCCTGAGAAGAGATGAACAGCGGAAATGAGAATAAATGGGCACATACGTTAGAGCCGCATGTACATGCACGTGGCTGTGTTATATCGCTCGATTTGAATGTTGGCGTTCGCTGTGGTATCGATTCCTATTGGTGTGGCTCGTTGTACTCTCAGCTGTCGGCGCAGAGTTCATAAGCGTAAGTTGACTGTGACAGCATAAGCGTGCCAGGATGATGCGTGAGGTGCGTCAGGCAGCCAGACGATGCCTCGAACAAAAGTGAAAACGTTGGCAAGTAAAGAGCAAGCCTTTATGGTGCCATTGCCACCACTAGTTGAGTTCAGTCTCATAAGAGCTCGAAAGATCGCACTTTTTTATTCCCTTTTCAATAATGGTCGCGACTTGGTTCAAA